GGGCCCTTAGGAATGCTAACGGGACTGTGCTTGGGTTTTTTGTTTATCATGGAATCACAGAAGTCAGCACTTACAGACTCTCTTATGTGTCCAAAGTATCACAAAGACATTAATGCCTTTTACATCGGATTTGCCATACTGCATCAGACCACCGACCTGTCTAATCCTGTTCCCAGCATTGGCCAACAGCCGATGCTTCAGAGGTGATAAACACCACCAACTGCCCCCCCCCCGAAACTAGTTCTTCCCTCTTCACAGCCCAGCACCTGTGACCTACTGGTTCCATTCTTTTCGGGCTCCAGGTTCTGAACAGGGAGGTGAAATATTTTCCCTTTATTACACCCACATCAATAAGGACAGATGGGGAGCTGCCACCACCAGAGCACCTCTCCCCCAGCCAGAAAGCTTATGGTCTCAACTCAAGTCTTTTGGCACAGCTTTCCTGATGTTCAAAGGCTTTCAGGTTGCTTGACTAGAAACGAAAAGAAATAATTCATTGAAACATTTAATTTTGGGTAGCAGAAATTTTAAAGCATGGGAGCTGCCAAACTTCACTGGAAGGTCGAAGCACACTTATTTTGTGCAGCCCCATCTGATTAAACAATTAATTTCTTCTCCACTGGTTATGGATCTTGCTTTCATTCCACAGAAGGAGTACCGCTATCACAGGAGTCTCAGCCCATCAACACGCTCCTTCCTGGCGGAGGTGCTGACAGGCTGCGACTGCCTGGCAGGGGGCCGGGGGAAGAGGGCGGCCCATACATGGGGCAGTGGGGCACCCTGCACTGTGTTTCACCCCAACCTCCTCAGCAAGCCCACGGCAGTGGGATGGCGGGGGAGGCCGGGCTGGAGTAGCCACATTTTACAGCAATACCAAGCGTCTCTCCTAGTGCAGCAAACGCACGTTGTTCTGCACGCCTTGATAGTCATCCCTCACAGGGAGAGTTGCTGCCCCCCAGATCCAGACCCGCCACTGGATTATTCAGACAAAAGAAACATCTTTTTAATCTCAGCCATGAAACTGTCATCCTTTCCTTCACTGCTGAAAGCCCTTCACATCCTCGTGATAGCAAATGGAACCTTTCACCCTCACGCACACACCTGCCCATCCCTTCCATCCCATGATGGACTTCACAGGTTATCGATGTCTGTCCAGGCACCACATATCTAACATGACCCCAATTTCAGGTTCAACTTCCCTTCTGAGAGAGAAGCCACAGATAAAATATGATTCCTGATGGTAGTGCTCAGCTGGAAAAGGTCTCATGACAGTCTAAGCATTATCAGAGGAGAAAAAAAAAATAGCCTAAGAGATCACGTTACCTCAGGCTGTGATACAACCCATCCTTGCTCATGAGCCCCTGGTAACATTACCATCCTGTCCAACGTCCTCCTCCCCAGCACTACGTGCTCCTTGCAGATGAGGAGGGAGAGCTGCCCAGACACCAAACTGAAAGGCTGAGACAGCTTCACTCCAAGAGCAAGCTGCCACAGAGACCCTTCAGCATCCAGCTCAGTCACCAAAGACTTTTTGGCTTTGCAGGGCTCCCTCACAGACCTTTTCTCCATAGTGAGACAGCTCTGAAACTCTTAGAACTAAGATTCAGGAGAGCTACTCACCTTTGGCTGCTTCCACCAATCCCCCACATCCAGATTCCGGTGGGAAAGCAGGTAGCTGGCATCACACCAGAGCGTGGTTTTGTTCCTTGAAGCCGGCAGCATGCCAGGCATGATTCTAGCAAATAGCATCTCCTGCTTGGGCGTACATGACAGCCACACGCGCTCTTGCTCCCTTGCCTTCTCACTGATAACACCTGTGTGACCTATTCATCGGCAACTTGTTTGAAGTGGGATTTGTTCAGCAGTAAATCAGTTTTTAAGTGCCCCTGAAATCCCCACAGCCCATTAGCCTCCTGCACAGTTTACCTCTCCTGATTTGCTTTGTTTTCTCCCATTTCCTTCTGTGCACATCTCCTGTTCTGCCAGCCCTCGGTTACACTTCCAGGATCTTACACTGGAACCCACGCACATTTTTCATGTTTAGCAGGGCATTGCTCATTTATTAATATTCAGAGTAGATGTAAATAGAGAAGCTAATCTCCAAAAGACTACTGAAGCGACATGGGAAGAACAACAGTCAAACAGAAATCTTGGCACACCATCCGCCTTCCTACCTTGCTGGAGCACGCCAGAAGCAGAGGGGATGATGCTGAGCCCCTCCTCTCCACATCCCTTTAGCCCTCTTTCTGCACAGTTCATAGCCTGCTGATACAGGACAGGTGAGGCTAAACCAGGCTACGAGCATCAACCCTGCCGTGACATTCCCTTCTCCGAGCACCGCCAGTATCGGCCGCACTGTGATAATTCCCCGTCCTCCAAGCTGAAATGCAGCATGCAGCTGTGGAGCAGCCACTGGGGCTGTCACTCTGTCACAGGAGCCAGAAGACCCAGCTCGCAGCCCAGGAGCTTACAGGGATTTGGGGCTTGAAGCTGTACAACATTTGTTCTGTACTTGTAGGCCTGTACCAAAGGAGCTCAGGAAAAAAAAAAAAAAATCATCTCCTGGAAACTACCCAGAGCTTTTCTCTCTGAGGGAAACAAACAAGGCCTTAATTAATTTTCTTTCAAATACATCAAATTGACTTCTGCTCCAGTTGTGCTAGATTCAAGCCACACAGCACAATGGTATTAATTCCACTTCACTTAAGGGCTAAATGTTCAGAGCAAGGAAAAGGGAGTTTCCTCTAGGTCTTGCTCACGTTGAAGTCAACAACTAAACCACCTTGGTTTTCACAGGAGCGGCTTCTTCAGAGCCTGCGTTTCTGAGGTTGACTGTGACATGCCTCTGGTTTAGCACAGCAAAATGCAGGATACATTGAAGGCCCTGGCTC